GGACTGGTCCATATTGGGTCATGTCTGGTTTGGAGGCTGCAGAAGAGAAGCTGGTAAGCTGGAGGTAGTCCAGTGGAGGACCATGTAGATGTTTGGAAGCTGGAGCTCACAAGCCAGGGAGTGCTGGACAGGCTTGTTCAGCCTAGAGGAGAGAAGGCTTTGGGTGTGGGGGGAGCTAACTGCAGACTCACTACTGAAGGGGGATCGTTATAGGGGTGGAAGTGTTAAAGCCTATGCAGGGGTGTGCAGCAACAGGACAAGAGGTTGCACAGGTTGCAACAAGAGCAATTCTTGCTAGGTAGAAATAAAAACTTCTGACAACAGGAGCTGTTAACAAGGAGCAGGTAGTCCCGTGTGTTAGGCGTGGTTGGCACAGTTTGGTGCAATTTCCGTTGCTGTGGGTATGAGAATTTGACTGGAAAACGTGCTGAGCAATTGGTTCCAGGTTTGAAATTAGCCCTGCTCAGAGCAGGGGATGGACTAGAGACCTCCAAAGGCCCCTTCCTACTTTGACTATTCAGTGACTGCATGCAGTGTATGCATTGCACACATTACAATTATGCATGCTTGGCAAAGGAGAATAAAATCTTAAACCAGTATTATCATCATTCCTATTGAATTCACTTGTATGATTATTTATAAGCATTCAGTTTTCATTATGCAGTATTGTATTTTCCTGAAGATCTCTGGTTAGAAACAACAGCATTAAGAGCTACCCTGTCCCTGCTTAACATGGCACTCTTGGCTTGATAACGAAACCTGTCCATTGAGTGCCCATCTGTATTCGTTCTGTCCTCCTGAAGTGCTAATCCTGTTTACCCTCTCGCCATAACCTCAGTAAGTCTATTTGTTTGCTGATTAGCTCTAGCCTTGATTATTCCCTTTAAGCACTGAGAAAACATGCTGAAAACAAGGTGTACACATGACAAAACTCAAATAAACAGAATTATCAAGGAAATGCAAGGGAAAGTTCAGAACACAGCACTGAAGATGCAGAGACGTCCGTTCAAAGACATTAGTCTTAGATGGAAATCAAGAGATTTAGGTGAGTAATGTGGAAAACCTGGGAAATATATAGGTGCCTGTGATAAGGGATTTAGGTTTTTCATCTTATGATAGCTTATCAAACACCACTTACTTCAGTGGAGCTGCACTGATTTATTCTGGCTCATGGCCTTGTAGTTTGTAAAATCAGCAGCAAATATGCAGTGGGCATGGTTTGGATTTCTTCAGGCAACACGCAGCCTTTTAAATAAATACTCAACACAGTATGTTGCTAGAGGAGGACCAGTTGCAGGAGAGCCAAAGGGCTTCACACAGTCTCACACAATACAGCTCATAAAAATGGTGCCACCTTATTTTACTTATGACTGATCCCATGAGTAAAACAGCCCATAGTATTTTGTCCTATGCTTATTCCTGTGTTAAGCTGATAACCCTTGTTTAGTTGCCACAGAGCTTTTGAAAAACATGTCCTGCCTAGTTTTAAAGATATCAGGTGCTTATATCAAGTCCCTAGGCCAATTGTTTCAGTGGTTAATTACTCTTCACTATTAAAAGAAAGCAGTGCTTAATGTGGCCTGGATTTATGCAGCCTTATTCCCTGGCCATTGGATCTTTCTGTGTCTTTGTGTGCTGGGTTAAGGAATTGCTGGCAACTGAAATGTTCTCCCTGAGAGTTTAGTTAGAGACCAGCAAGATTTGCTTAAGCTTTTAGGTTTCATTGTGGCTTTCTTACCAAAGTCCATGTTTCCCAAGACAATAGTCTAAACAGCTTTAAAACAGACTCTGCAGCCCATGTCTATCTGGCTAGCTTTCCCCTGAACCCTTGTTCCTGTTGGCTTCACCATCTGTGTTTCTACAGAAGTGTCTAATTGATGAGAGTGACCAACAGAGCTGTAGAAGGAGTTTAGGCACACTGCATCCGAGAACATCTTTATAGAAGGATATCAGGGTCTATCCTAAGCAGGGTTATGTGTAACAATATCTGGGATTTCATTTGACTATTATTGCTGGTTTAGTTACAAATAACACATAAAATAAGTTTATGAGTATACGTACAGACAGTGTGCAGTAGTAACGAATTCGTATCATTAGTGTGATGAAAATAGTTGTCTAAATGAATATGGAAACATGTTCATTTAATGTGGACTTCTGGTGTCAGATGGCTGAAGTTTTTAGAAGTAAGTATTAGATGTGTGTTATCTGCCCAACACACTATCTTCTATTTTCACTTGTCTGGTTTCTTTGGTAAATTTATGAGATTGAATGATAAACCCTCCATGGCGGGGGTTGGAACTAGATGATCTTAAGGTCCTTTCCAACCCTGTTTATGATTCCATGATTGGAACAGTTTCAGTCTGTCCTATAGAGCAAAGCTGAATCTTATAGGTGTTCTGCTTTGCCACAGACCTGTCCAAGGGTATTAGCACATCTTGCCTACTTACACTCGTATTGTCTGTTAATGCTGTTAACAAACTTCTAAAGATGTTCCCTGCATATGGTGCCACCTTTGGAGTCAGTGCTCAAGTCTGTTCCTATTGGGCCATCACTTGTTTGTAGCAGAGCAGCTGATAAATACCACAATGCATTTTTAGCAACATGGCACATTGTTCTCCTGCCATGTGTATGAGGCAGGAAAATGCTGATCTGCTCTCTGCACAGCAGTAACTCCCCCAATGACTGTTAGGAGTAATTAAAATGGCTTTTCCGCAATGAAAAACACATTGTAATACCTAATTAGGAGAACTTTTGGACAAAGAATCTCATGCCTGATGCTATCCCGTCTCCCTCTGACAAAGGTGGTACTGTGGGACAGGCTTTGCAGCTTTTTAACTTGCACACAGTCCAGCCTCGCTGGCAGATCAGCAGCAGGCTGCCTGCCTGCAGGTCACAGCTGCCTCTGCCTCTTAAAAATGCAGCACTGCTGGAACTTCAAGTGCTAATTGCTGACACAACCTGAATTACGGAGTCATATACTGAGAACTTCTACTGTTGCATGGGGAATTATTTACAGTAGTGTGTGAATACTAAATTCTCTGAGTGATTTCTGGGTGGATTTCATATTTAACTTACAATAACTACCTTGATAAAAGCCCTGAGAGAATAATTTCATCTTGTAGCTTTTTCATGATTGCTATTGTACGGGTTATCGATCTTGCACTTTTCATTTAGATATGTTAAATAGGTTTTTTCTTCCATTAATAATAAGAAAAATTCCCCTTTTTTGCATACTTTTCAGAATTAAAATTACTATTAACATTATTTGGCTCTCTGGTTGTGAAGGGAATTTCAATGATATGAGCAAGAAAGTTAATTTCAGTTTTAGAAGTCACTCAAAGGAGAATTGGTGGGATGGGTCTTGCCTCTGGCAGATATATGAGTGGTCTGCAATGATAAAATCCTTTTATTTTTGCAGAAAAAAAGTTTTGGAAACTCCAACAAGTTCCTCCCTGCCCTGAAATTAATGTTCTTATCCTGTTAAACTCTTAACATTTGAGCTGTTAATGTAGCCACAGTTCTGTAGACTCTTTAGAGACCTGAGATTAGTGGTGGTAGAAGGTCTAAGCATCCCAGCAGGAATGAGTGCAGGAGTTTGCACTGCAGAACAGCAACAGGTCTGTTCCTGGGGCTTTCCAGACTGACTGGGCAGCTTCTTTTGCAGTTCATGTCGTCTTTGTGTCCCTGTCATCAGTGCTCTCAAGAGGCAATCTGCTTCCTGTGACATGGCTGGCATGGTTTGAACTAAAACAGCAGTTAGGAGATATGGCAAACTGGATTTTGGTTTTCTGTTGTGAAACAACTGACTCTAGCCCTCTGCTCTTTGCCTGGATTCTTCTTTCAGCTCCCATATGGAAGCTACAATTCTTCTCTTTTTGAACCTTGTCTGGTCCCAAATTACTGCACAAGCCTGCTGCCCTTTTTCCTCCAACACCAACCCTACATCAGGCCCAAATGGGCTTACAGATATAACCCAGGTGAAGCATTTCTAGAGGCCAACTTTACCTTAAGGAGGCTAATCTCACAAGGTACCCTGTATGGTCCATGGAGAGAAACTCAAACTCTCCCCAAGGAGCCCAGTGGGGAATGTGTTGTGGGGTTAATAGTTACTGTGTTAGTCCAGTGCAGTAGCCTCTCTTGTTTGTTCTGAACCCCTCTCTGAAAGGCCTTGCCGCATCCATCACAGAAGTAGAAAACTGAGTTTCTACCATAGATAAAGAATGTTATTGGGTCCTATCTCAGTTTTCCCCTTTTAGGTAAAGTATGCAAATTCTTGCAGTGATTTCCACATAGATTTTGGTTTTGGGATCTCTGATCCTTTTCCCTGCTCCCTGCTGAAGAGAGCAGGAAGATTGTTTCATGTACCTCACAGTCAAAAATAAGGCCTCAGTCCTATTTAATTTTGTGTTAATAAACAAGTCCTGTTTTATTTTGGTGATTGGGGGTAGAGCTTTCATTTGTTGAATTGAATCATTGAATTGAAATCATTTTCAATTCCAAGTCTGTTCTCTGATGGATGTGTTGCTCTTCCCTGGTTGGTGCAGACTTAATAAGCATGCTATCTGTTTTATCATCCATATCATTAGTGGAAATATTGAATAGTCCTAGACCCAGGGTAGCTCCCTGTGGAACACATGGGTCCATACTGCTATTTTAGTGCTGAAACATTCATAACTGCTTTCCAAGTACTGCTTTTAACCACTTTTGCATTCTCTGTGCAATGTGAAACTCCCATGCCTCTTTAATTCAGCTATAAGACTACTATAAAAAACAATGTCTAAAGTCAGGATATGTGACATCTGCTCCCGTTCTTATACCTACAAAACCTATCATCACCCTCTCACAGGAACAAATTATTTTAGTTTGACGCAATTTGTTCCTATGAAATCCGTGGTGGCTGCTGCTCAAGCCCCACTTCCTGCTCGGTGTACATATTCAACATGCTCGGCTATTTGTTCCAGTTTGTTTTTTCTTTTCCCAGGATTTCATGTTGCTTTTATTTCTTTTTTTCCTCTCAGAGAAGGAGACAACCAAGAGCTGTGGATCTGGAGAAGCTGACACTGATAGTGCCCATCCCACACGTGAGTACTGTTTGAGGTAGAGGGAGGGATGGTTTTGTGTGAGGACCCGAGGCAGAAGCTCTCTCCTTCAGTCTGCCACATTTCCAGGGTGACAAATTTTAGTGACCCAAGGCTCTTTGCAGCAGGTTTGCAGATAGGCCTTCCTTGCTCGCACAATTCTCGCTAGCTTTTGGGTAGTATTTATTTTGTACACCACTGTGAGTCAGGGACTACTACTAGCTCAGAACTGACCCTGATTTTCAAGTCTGATTTAGTTTCAGGTATAAACCTTACAGGCAGTTAGAAAATGAAAGCTATCTTATAGAAAGTGGTGGTGTTTTCTCTCTTTTCCTCAATTCCCTCCCCTATAAATGAGGTCAGGAATGTTATGAAGCTAACATCATTAATGGTTGCAAAGTGTTTTGAGATCCCTGAATGAAAAGGCTTATATAAGCGGAAAAGTCTTATTAGGATAATTATAATTGCCAACTGTACTGGCACAATATAGATCACTTAATGAGTTATTTGGCTTTTCCTTTCTCTTTTCCCCTCAGCTCCCCAAAGCAACATAAACAGACTGATTTTAATTGGCAACTTTCGTTTCTAGCAAATGGACTTTCACTGAAGTTCAAGCTCAGCAGCAGCATTTAGAAAATGCAAGTTGGTTTCAGATCAAGTGGAATTTGCAAGGCTATGGTAAAGAGGAAAGTTTCTGTGTTCTTTGAGCTAGAGAAGCACACACTGAACCTGCCTTTTGAATTATGAGCACTTTTCTCTCCATTACCTTGCAGTGTGTTCACTGCAAGAGCTGTGCTCAGCTGTTGACAGATTCTTGCGACTAGTATGATGAAGGTGAGTTGATGACTTAGGCTGGCAGCTAACATGGTATAGCTAATGGTCTCTGGGGAGGGGAAGAAATCCCCTTTGTATTTTGATCTCCCACTGCTGTGATTTACTGTCTTGTTTTTGCCAGTGTTTCACTTGTGTTGGTTTGAGTATGTGGCCTTCTGGAACTGACCCAGAGGTGGGATAAGGAAACCAGCTCTTGCTGTTTTATTAGAACTTACAGGACTATTGATAATCATCTGGCTTCCTTCCTGTAAAACTTCAGCTGCAGTAACTCATGCTCATCCTTGTGACTGAGAATTGGCTTCTTAAAGCTTTATAAAAGTGGATTAAGAAAACTGTTAGGAAATGATTATCTCCTTGTAGGTATCATTATCTTACAGTCAGTAATACCAAAGCTTAAATCAGTAGGAGTTTACTTTATTATCATTACTGCTATAAATACTTAGCTGGAACTTAAGCTATAGATCTGTCCTGTTCTGCTAAATGTTTTTTCAAATACATGAGGGGTGAAATCTCCACCTATAAAACAATGTAGCTCAAAAGGTTACTCCCCAGCTTTTTAAGTTCACCTTCATTCCTGCTGTCAGCATGGGGGGAGAACAGAGCTCTACAAATCAAACCAGGGGCTCCTGAATCCTAGTGTTGAGGAGAAAGTGTCTTTGCTCAGCTGGGAAACCAGGCAGGAACTGGTTCCTTGCTTACCCATTGCTGATCCAGGTTTAGTGCTTAAGGGGCTGTGACAGGAATCCTCAGCGAACAAGAGCAGCCCAACGGACTGCTGCCCCACTCATGTTATGCTGCTGAGTTGACAAACCCTTGTGGAATACCACAAAGTGAAATGATGCCCAAATAGGCACCTTTATGGCAGTGTCAAAGGGTGGCGATAATAATTCGTTACATCTTGAGTGAGTAGTGTGGCATAGCCCCACCACACTGCATCCAGTTGTCAGGATGTCAAGTCCCAGTCTATATTTGCTGCTTCATCAGTATTTTGTTCTGGACAGTGCTGGCAACCATCCCACTCAGCAGTGAAACAAAGCCACAGCTACTACTCAGTTCAGCTTTCAAGAGCAGCCAGAGTTTTTCAGGTATTATTCTTTAGGATGTCATGTTTACCTCTGGATAAATCACAGTGGACTCTATCATGCTTTTAGTACATGGGGGATGTCAGATGCATAAATCCTGAGTTGTGCCTGGGGGTCCTTCCAAAGCAGCAGAATGGGCTGGGTTCTGCCTGTTTCCCTTCCTAGCCCCCATACACTTGTTGGATAGGATGGCTTACGCTAGAGCTACTGTCAGGTTTTTGCTAGAACAAGTTAAGAATTTAAATCTTAACTGCTATCCTTACCAAAGATAATGCTGATGTTTACAGCCCCTTGAAACCCTTAGATAAATGTACTATGCCCATAATTCCTGCCTTGAATCCAGAATGTTACAGCAGGAATTACATCCCACGGAAGAATATCAGCTATATGCTTGCGACAGCAGAGCCCTATGGCATGTTTAATTACCTGTATATCTTACTTGTGCATGCGTGTGTGTGTGTGTTGTGTCAAACAGCACTCTGACATGAAAGTCCCGGGTCATCACTGGGTCCCTTAGGGGAATGCTGCTTCATCTCTGCTCTCTGTTCAGTCTCAGACTTCCCACCCTTGTGCTTCATACTCAGTATAACATTCCCAGTCCTGTTGGGCTGGAACATTGTCACCCTTGGCAGAGTCTAGTTGGACGTTTTGGGTACTGCTGTGGGAGCTTTGTGTGTCTGTTTCTGCAGTTAGCTGTTGTGCTGGCTAAGCCCGGGGCTGATGCGATGCCACACACTGCAGCATGCTGCTCTGCACCACAGCCCTGCAGTAAGCCCTAGTGGTTTGGCACTGCCCTAAGAGTCTTACCTTGCTCTAGACCTCCTCAGCTCTGTACAGCATCTGCATGGCAGCCCTAAGAAGAGTCTGGGTATTTTAAGATACCCAATCTGAGGTGCCTTTGTTCTGGTCAACCATACACAGGAGGAAAACCAAGACTTAAAACTTCTGTTCTGTTTGATTCCCAGAGGTGTGATCTCAGTGTGCAGAACATGGCTTTATCTTCACTAGGGCATTTTCCACTGTGACAAGTGCCTCCAGTCTCTGCATTGAGCAAGTTTCCATTAAATGCTTCATCTCACCAGCCTGGTGGCTCAGCATCATGGGGACCCGTGTGGCAGAGTGGATCATTGTTGTTGCAGACTCAGTGCCATTCCTGGGGGCTCTGGGTGCCATGTGTGAGAATGAAGAGGCATCTATATAATTTGGGGAGCATTCTGCCTTTTCTTGGCATGAAATGTTCCCATTCCCTTATTTTTTTTTTTTTAATAGCATTCCTCCTCACCTCTTTCTCCCAGCTTTTGCAGCTTTATGTACAGACTTGGATCAGGACTCTGTGGATGAGAAGAGTGCTGATGGGTGACAGGTCCTGCCTGCTACTGGCCAGAGACTGCCCAGAGTAGCAGTAGGAAAAGCACTTGACAAATAGTGAATATATCAGAAATGGAAGAGAACTGACATCATGTGCTGGTTGGATACTGGAGAGAGACTCTTCATCAGGGGCTGTAGTGATAGGACAAGGGGTGATGGGTTCAAACTGAAACAGGGAAAGTTCAGGTTGGATATAAGGCAGAAGTTCTTTACTGTGAGGGTGCTGAGGCACTGGCACAGGGTGCCCAGAGAAGCTGTGGCTGCCCCATCCCTGGCAGTGTTCAGGGCCAGGTTGGACAAAACCTTTGGCAACATGGTCTAATGTGAGGCATCCCTGCCCATGGCAGGGGCTTGGAACTGGATGATCTTAAGGTCCTTTCCAACCCAAACCATTCTATGATTCAGTGGGGATCCAGCAAGTCCTAATAACCCCAAAATGTGAATGGAGAGGTTCTGAAACTTCAAATCTTTCTGATTTTCCCCTTTTCATTTGTTAAAGAAAGAGGAAATTCTCAGTTCATTCCTGTGGTTTGCAAACAAAAACGTGTTCGATGTTTTGTTTCCTTTCAGAAAGGTATTTCTTTATTTCAATATTGACCTACCAATTTAAAAAGAGAAGGGGTTTAGAAAAAATATCGATAACGTGGAAATGAGGTGAAGGATTTTGTGTTGGACTGAAAGGAGCATTTTACCTAAAATGACATTTGAAGTATTTCCTTGTTGAAAGATATTTTCATTTGGACTGGACATAATGATTTTGTTTCAGCATTGCAACCTGCTGCATAATTCCAGAGGGGCACAAGCAGGGAAGACTCCAATAGTTGTTTATTAGCTATGGACAGTGAAGCTAAGGGGGTTAATTCTTGGACTTGGGATTTCTTCTGCTGTTTTCCCATGTGTTACATGTTTTGGCTAATCTTTGCTCCTTGCTCCCTCACATTAACTCTCCTTTAAGCATCAATTTAATTGTGGACCTTGCAGCTATTTTTGTTTTCTCTGTGTGTATATTTGCTTTATTTTAATTGTTCTGCCTACAAATTATTGAATCTCTTTGGGTATCACCAATGAGAGGGAAATGTGGGTCAGGACTGGGCCAGCAAGTGCTGAAGGCTCAGCTGTGGCGTTCCTAAAGGTGTAGCAAACAGGAGACATTAGCAATGAGTAAGAGAAATGATGATCAATTTGCCAGGACTCTGAGGTGCCTAGATTCAGTTCAGGGTAGTATTATGCCAATAACTAGTGTGAGAAGTAAACCCCGCCATGGACACCTTGTGGTCTAGGTAGACATGCCAGAATAACCAGGTAAAACAGCATATTGGACAGGTCTGAGGTGGGGTTGCAGTACCAGGAGATAGAGGTACTTGCTGGGAAGTAGGGGACTGTCAGCAGTGCAATGCTGGCTGCAGGGGCCCAAGTGTGTGCCCGTACCATCAGGAGGGATGGGGCACTGGGAAGGACCTGTGGGAGATCCCTGCTGCCCTCACTGACTGCGAACAAAAAAGCCAGAAGGCAGAGTGCCATTTTGTACAGTCAGTCTGCTGTTATCCTGATCTCGCATGACAAATTGGTGTTCCCGTAGTGGCAGCAGAGTAATCAGACTGTGACAAATGGTTTACTTAGAGCAATTTGTTTTCATTTTACTGAAAATTTCCACAGTCTTAACAAAAGGTTCCCCCCGCCTCCTCACTCCCAGTGCCTCCTTCTTCCTTTAATGGCATT